TTCCAATATCCTTTCAAAGGAACAAACAGGGAAAGGCTACCATTGTCCCTTTGCTGAGATGGGAGATGGTCAGTGGTAAACAAATGAGAAAGAAAGAAAAGAAAAGTGTCCAGTGGGAGCAACAAAACACGTGATTCTTGCCCTTTGGTTGGGGAGGGATGAGCCCAGAGGTCCCCCAGGGACAGCGATAGAACTGCTGGGATGCGGGGAGGAGCCCCCAGGGGTTTCCTTACACAGAATACAGTCTGGTCTTGCCTTAAACCGAGCCTGACTGTCTTATAGCTGGAGCATTTGATAATTTACATCTAACACAACTACTGATATGGTTGGGTTTCAATTCATCCTTTTGCTACTTGTTTCTGTTGTCCCATCTGTCCTTTATTTCCCTTTTGTCAGCCTTTCTAGTGAATTTTAAAATTTCCCTTTATTTCATCAACTGCTTTATTAGCCACACCTCATGTCATTTTCCCAGTGGTTGCTCCGTGATTGACAGTATGCACCTTTAGCCTACATTCTACCTCCAGTGAACAGTCCATCACAGCACAAGTCCTGTGAGATCTCTGCAACATCCTACCATTGCTTCCTCCCTCCCCATTTATGCATTATTGTTGTCGTACCTTTTACAGTTGCATAAAATATAACCTCAACCAGCCCTTGAGTGCTGGCCTGAGAAGCAAAGGGTCGCTGGTTCAGTTCCCAGTCAGGGCACGTGCCTGGGTTTCTGGTCAGGTCCCCAGTTGGAGGCATGTGAGACGCAGCCACACATTCATGTTTCTCTCCTGCTCTTCACCTTTCTTTCCCCTCTCTCTAAAAATAAATAAATAAAATCTTTTTAAAAAACACTTTTAAATGGAGAGACGGTAAAAGAAATTATTACTTTGGTCCTGGAAAGCTTTGTAGAATAATGATAATAAAAGACCAAAACACTTTTACAGCATACTGAACATAAAAGATCTCACATGAAGGCATCAAACAGTTGCCCAAACAAGAAAGACAGTTTTAATAATACAAAACAATAACTGATTTAAATTTGCAGAATTGCAAGTTTTTTTACAATTGACAGTATGTATTTGAATGCTATGTATAAAGTTTCAACCATAAACACTGAAAGGCCCAACAAAGAGGGAGGACCGCACTGGCCAGCATCCACTGGCAACGTCCAGCGGAACATCAGCTTCCCAACGATGCTGACTCCAGAGCACCTGGTTCTCTCCAGCCACAGAGAAAAGAAATAAAAGCTCTGGATCTGCCCAGTGGCTTCATTGGTTGGAGCATCGTCCTGTACACCAGAAGATTTTGGGTTTGGTCCCCAGTGGGCACATAGGGGAGGCAACAGATGGATGCTTTCTCTCTCTCTCTCTCTCCCCCACAACTTCCACTCTCTCTAAAATCAATAAGCACATAATCAGGTGAGGAATTTTATTTTTAATGATCTGAATCCTAAGTCACAGAGAGATAATGGCTGAAACATCCATATAGATTTCCCCTCCCTGCTGAGAATCCAACATTGCTGCTTTCGGTCAGGGAGGAAAACAAAAGAAAAAAAATGAGAAGGAAGAGATAAACAATGTCCCTTCATTGACTGAAATGAAGGACACAGACAAAGCAAACAAGAGGGCTGAGGAAATTACATTTTCTGTCTCAGTGCTCTAAGGAGCCCCCGTGACCCAGGAGGTGTCTGGACAGGGTGCGTGTCCTGAGGACCCTAGGGGGAATGGCACCTCGATTGACCTTCTTCTCTTCCTTTGCCCTTCCAAACAGATTCCAGCAGGGATTTGTCTCATTGTAGATTCCTCTTCTCCCAGTGTTGTCATTTTTCACCTCCTCCCTCTGATGTTGTCCCCTCCAGACTCCCACAAGAGGTGACGCTGCTCCCAGGGAGGACTTGGGGTGAGTCTGGTGGTCCAGCCCTGCTCCAGCAAGTCTCCATCATATTCCTCCTCTTCCTCCTCTTTCCTCAGGCCAACCCTCTTTCTCCCCTCCCCGCCTGCCACCTGCCAGACCCTCCCAAGTGTTCTTCTTTAGAGCTGTAGAGGGAGTGAGGTATAAGACATCTGCCCTATAAATATTATTTGTATTGTGTGTCTTAAAGAATTCCCAAAATCTATGAAGAATGTTGTAAACTCGGGGAGGAAAATTCAACATGTGCTATAGGTTTGTTCAACTCTTTTGAACCTGTCAGATGAGAAATTGAATCGCCCTTTGGCACCAGTCCCTCACGGTGGGAGCATCTGCTTCAGACTGCAGGGGCAGACCCTGATGGGGACTGATTACCAACGGGCCAATGAAGAACATTCCCTGGCCCCTTCCCTGTGATGCAAGAACACAGCAGGACCAACTGTGGCGCCACGTGTAGGACAGAGGAGTCAGCACAGCTGGATAGTCCACGTGAGAATTCACTTTCTAGCTGACCTTCCTATGGAAACGTCTCCATCTCATCCAAGACACCCATAGGACTCACCTGTTTGACACTGGTGTGCTTGGAACAAAGTGTTCATTTTCTTTCCTCCCCAGTTTGTACCAAGTCCCTGGTGTCCACCAGACCCTCACAAAATATTTCTCCCCTCACCCCTTGGAGAGTTGGTGAACCAATTTGGCTCATGGAATACTTCCACAGCACCAAGTCCTTGCTGCTCTTAGAAGAACTTTCTGAGCTCCTCCCCCCTGGTGCTTCCCTCTGGGATCTCAGGCATGTGCCACTGTCCTCTGTCCGTCATGTCCAGGTCACCCAGACCTGCAATTCAGTTCTGTCTCTGGCCCCACAGGAACAGCACGTATGGAACTTTCTGCAGCCTTTAGCTTCATCACTGAGATTTTGGAAGTCACAGGCAGGGGTCCCCCAGGCAGCACCAGGCATTACTGTACCAAGCTGATGGCTTTCCATCTGGAAGCAGGGAAGGGCTTATCCTACAACCCAAGAGGGAGAGACACTTCATAAATTATCCCCCTCTGCCAAAGCCAAAGCAGTTGGTATCTTTCAGGATGTGAAATCATTTCTTACCATTATGTTTACTTTTCACAAAGGAATGAGACCATCCTCTCTCCATTTTGGCCAGTGGTGACTGGACCTGACCTGCACTGTGGTCCCTTGGTTCATTCTCTGGGCAGACCACCGAAGTTCCCTTTAGGCGTGTGACCACCAGGACATTACTGTTGAACACGAAAATGTGCTTTGGGAAATCCTAGAAATTACTTGGATAGGTATCTCCAGGAGAGAAGGGATAGATTTCAACTACTGTTATCCATATATTAAAGGGATCTCATTTGTAACGAAGAAATGTGCACAGGTCTCAGAAACCTTGGTTACACGTCATTTCTCCGGGCACCTTATGAGCGAATCCAAGAAGAATGTGGTGGTTGATGGGCAGAGGGGTTAAGAACAAGGAGAGACCTCTTAGGGGGTAGACACACCAAGCTCCAAAGTCATCCTGAGCTTTTAGCAAAAAGTGAAATTTACCCCTGTGCTCTTAGAAGTTTTGGTGGTGTTTCCTAAGGTAAAAGATTTCCCATTTGTACAAATATGAGAGAAGAGAAAAGTTTTATTATAGTAACAGCAAGCAAACAATTCAGGGAGTGGGACAGCAGTGTGGGGACACCCCTCCCAGCAGGGAGTCATCAGGGTGCAAGGAGATGGAGGTGAGGTGGCAACAGCTGGCTTCCCAAGAAAAGGAGAGAACTAGTCATTCAGCAACATGCTCTTGTTGAGGGCTGGTCACAGAGTCTACATGAACATCTGAATACTCCAAATGATGCTCTCTAGCCTGTTTAATTTGTGTCATTTGTCCTTTCTGGCATTTCACTTCACTGAGTTCTCAGGGATCTGTCTTCAGACAGGTCTTTGTTCTTCAGTGGGCCATGCATAAGGAAGAATTTGAGTCCTTCCATAAAAATGTAATTCAACAAGTTTATGCTCATCAAGAAAGGATTCTATAAGCATCTCTATCTATAGATTACTTAACACAAAGAATTGATTTCACTAACCACATGAGTAAAATAGCTCTTGAGGTCGTAGAGGCAAGAATAAGGAGTAGAAGCCACAGACAGAAATTATCTGCCAATCTAGAAAGAATCTGGAGGAGAAAGAGTTACTAGCGATAAATAGAGCAAGCTTGATGTCACCAACTTTTGGTCTCCTACATTCCTTTTCTCTGTGTGTCTGAGAAGGAGTTCAGGTCACAGGGGACATCTGTATATTCTGCCTTGGAGTTTTAAAGAGTGGGCTTGTGTCCCTCCCCTGTGAAGTCAATCAAATGTCCACCAATGGCCAACAGTGAACTTTCCTGCCCTCCCTTGTCCTGAGAGCCTGAGGGGCAGAAACAGGGAGCTCTGACTTTGGGGAATGAGTTCTGTGGGGAAGGCGCCCCTGAAAATATGCAGGAAATATAGGCAGATTTTCTTTTTTTCTTCAAGGGGCTTGAACACATATTGAAGAATCAAGCCAGCAACTCTCAGTGCCCCCATGATGATGTCAATGCTCTCATGCTCCACTTCACCCCTGGCATTTTCCTGCTTGGAAACATAGTACTTTTTCCTTTCTGCCAACGCCCTCTCCATTTCTGCCTTTCTCTTTTCCCACTCCAGGCTATCCTTCAGGTTTCTGATTTTCTCCTCGCATTCCTTTCTTACCTGCCTATTCTCTTGCTCCAGCTCAGCTCTGCACTGCTCTTGTATCACTCAGATCTGTGTCTGAATCTCCTCCTCTGCCCTTTGGTACATCTTAGTGTAGAATCCTCACTTGTTCTCCATTACCATGCACCGAACCAGGTCCAGCAGCTGTGCCCTCTGGGCCTCCTGCTCAGCCCCTCTGGCCTTTTTGTTAAATATACAGTGATGATCCCTGAACTCTTCATCAGATCCTGATTGAATTTTGGAGCTTCCTCTAAGTAATCACAGAACACCATGTCATCCAAGTCATCCTTCCGGGTAAATATGAGAATCATGCATCTCCTAGCTCTGGGACCTAACATCATCAGCACCTTCTCCACAGTCTGTTGCTCCTCTCTTGTGTACTGGCCCAGTGGGACCACCAAGAACAGTGCATGAGGCCCCAGGGACATCAGGAGGATGCAACAAGCAATCTCCTTTTGTGTGTCAGTATTTGGCACCTTGGTGTGGAAAAGACCAGGTGTGTCCACGACCACAATTTCTCTCCCAGTCCAGGTGTTACTCCCTTTCTCACAGACCTTGGTGACAGATTTTGTTGTGATGCTGGAGTGAAACACTTTCTTCCCAAGGATGCTGTTCCCTGTGGCACTTTTTCCAGCTCCAGCCTTACCCACTAAGACTAGTCTCAGTTGTGACTCTCCGGAGTCTTGGTTTCCAAGCCCTGGAACATCAGGAAATAAAGCCACGGCATTAGGATTGACCTCCAGCATTCCCCCTGCAGTACTCACACCCACCTGTGCCCATCTCTGTTGCCTCATCAGGTCCTGTCCATGTGTGACCCCTGCTCCCACAGGAGCTCTGAGGAAGTTCTTCTGCAGGAATCACAGAACTCCCAGCCCATCTCAGGAGACCCTTGGGCTGCTCACTCTGACTTTTGGCAGCTGAGAGCCCATAGAGGAAGGTGCCCAAAGGTGTAAGTGAGAACTCTGAACCACTGTAGGTGCTATCCCTTCTAATCCAAGGCAAGAAGTGACACAAAAGCTGACTGTGGGACATCATAGCAGAAGATCCTCTAACCCCCACATCATAGTCACAAGGGAACTTTCCTTCTTCCCTGTGAAGATGCCAGGGATGGGGGGCCCATTCAGGCCCTCCCTCCTTGTAGGGTGAGAAGGGAACCTGAGCAGAGAGACCCTTTATATGTCACATACACAGCCCTGCTGTCAGGGACTGTGACCCACAGAAGCACAAAACACCTTACTTAAAACTACAGCTTTGTGTAGAAATCTAATGAAGTTTTCTTATTTTAAATTAATATGTTGAAGACGTATAACCAGAAAGTATTAACAATTCCCTGGAGTTACTATAAATAAAAATCCTTGATACCTAAATAATAATAATAAAAATAATAACAACAACAACAACTCAAACAGATTAGCATCAGTAGAATTACACTTTCTTAGTCTCACTTGGTTAGGTGCACCTACCTCCTAGGAAACTTGCAGGTTAATTAATAACAGAGCAGCATAGCCTACCAACCAAACCATGTTTTCAAAATAACTGTGAAGGTAAGCACCAGATCATCTGTATAGTACTCCCCTACTTCTGTTTAGTAGATCTCTGCTTCTCTCTTTAATGGGTCTCACAGTGGAAGCTTCCGGATTTGGTGGGCACAGCCCAGGACCAGGCAAGTCAACTGCCGACCACAGCTGAGGGCCTGTTTTCCCGAGAAAGAACACCCTCCAGTGCAGCCCTTATGTGAGACAGAGGCCTGTGGAGGGACCCTGTGCCACAGCCACTGTCTTTGCTCAGAGTTCATGCCCATGTGGTCACACTGATGACATTAGAGACATGAGTGATAACTGCGTTTCCCTTTCAGAGACATCATCACCATCACCCAGGCCCTCAGACCAAAAGTCTAGGAATCTCCCTTGATTCCTCTCTTCCCTTTGCTTTCCAGATCCAACCCACCAGCACGTTCTCTTGCCTCCATCCACAATCTGACTGCTTCTCTCCAGGTAGAAGACCATCATACCAGCCCAACCTACATCACCATCCATACCTCAGCTGTCCCCCGAGTGGCCTCTTTATTTCCAGTAGGCCCCCTTCTGCCTATTCTGTAACTGTAATGATTTTTTAAAATATCCATCAAACAGAGGAGAGATTTGGCAGAAACCCCATCTCTGGCTTCCACAAGATCAGTAATAATTCCCCATCTTCCACACACTCTGTGAGGAAGCTGTAGCTCATCCAGGGAGTAGCCAAACCTCCCCTGGGGGTGAGTTTCCCACATTTGATAACCAGCATCCTGGGATGAGAGGGTGAGTTTCCAGAAGCTGAGAACACAGGACACAGAATGGCTACCAACAAGGGGAATGTGGGTGGGAGTTCGTATCACTGTGCCGTTAGCATCAGAGTGGAAGGCACCACCTAGGGACACCCTGAGGGCGTCAGCTGTCACCACACAGGGAGTGGGAAAATCCTGGGAGGTGAAACAAAAGGCCACCAAAGGCCAACTCCACCCTGGAGCAGTTTGCCAATGCTGAGGGCACGTAGTGATCTATGTGACAGAGTGCTGCTGTGGCCACGGACTGTTCCCATCTGGGACATGTGCCTCTTTGGGATGTGCATCTGTAGCTACATCCACGAATGCTGAGTCCATTTCCCACTCTTCAATCTGGGTGGGCCATGTGACTCATTCTGGACAAGAGGGCAGCAGAAGCATGATCCCAGCATGGGTCCTAAAAGTGTGGATGTGCAAGGCTGGCTGTCTCCTTCTCCCCCTCAGAGCCCTGTAGCTGCCTGAGGAAAAGACTGGACTTGCCTGCTCAGTGATAAGGGAAACAGGTCCACCTATGCCCGTCACCCTGGCCTGGCCAAGAGCCTGCTGACTAGCAGACACATCCATGGGGCTACCCAGTTCCAAATTATCCAGTTGCTGGGTCTTGAGAGCATCATGCTAGATGAAATAAGTCACATGAAAAAAGGACAAGAACCATATGATATCATTCATGTATGGGATATAAAATAGAAAGCCACAGGTGAAAAAACAAAACAAACTCATGGACACAGACAACAATATGGTGTTTACCAGGAGGAAAGAAAGGAGGAGCAAAGTGGAACAAGGTAAACAGGGTGAAATGTGTGGTGATGGGAGGAGACAAGGTTTTGGGTTGTGAATACACGATGTAATACACGGATGATGAATGATAGGATTGTACACCTGAACCTTATATAGTGTTATTAACCTTCTCACCCCAACACATTTCATGTAAAAAAAAAAAACGATTATCAAGTTATACACTGAACTACCACTTACCACCAGGTACATGAGGGAGTCTGGGTGTGATGAGTTCAGCTGGCCCAGAACCAAGAACTGCCAACAAAATTACTGATACTTCCAGGCCACTGCATTGTGGTGTGGTTTGCAAACCACCGTGAAATCAACTGATGCAGTTACTTTCTGTACACAAGGGAGTAAAAGGGGGTTTATGTGAGAAATGGAGTGAGCCAGCCTGTGGAATTTGTTGGTTACAGTGGGGCCACCTGGAGCTGGGATAATAGGGACTTTAAAAACTCATTTACTCTCACATTTCTCCTTCCCAACTTTCTCTAAGACTGAAGAGAGGGGCAGAGAAACACGCAGAAAGGCTATGGCTGACCCTCCTGATGTGTGCACATGTTAGGAAGTAGGAGACAAGATCCCTCATCAAGCCTGGATCACTCAGGACACTGTAACCTCTCTTCCTCTGACTGGTGATGCCACATCAGGAGGGGCCTGGGTGGAGGGTCCAGGAAAAAGAAAGAGCAGAGTCGATGGAGACAAAATGAGAAATGGGGTTGGGGGTATTTGGGTCTTGCTCAGTTGGGGACTAGGAGACAGGACGGGAGAGCCCCCACCAGGTTCCCTCCTTCAGCCTGGCCTGGAGAGCCCGGGCCCCCTCTCACCATGGCTGGTCCAGGGTTCGCTGATGCTGAAACTTGAGCTGTGCAATGGAGCTGCCATTGTCGTGTGAGTTCCTGTGGGTAAGAAACACAACTCATTTCAGGGAAACGGAGTAACTGCAAACCGAACCTCCTGCAGCCAAGAGCCCCTTCTTCCCCTAGACTGGCTACTTGACTTCTCCTCCTTCCCAGCACTTCTGCTCCTCTCCCCTGGTCAGTCTCCTTTTTGCTTCCTGCTCTTCCTCTGCACAAACATACAGTCTTCAGGTGCCTCCTCAGCTCGGCTTCTGGGCACTGGACACCTTTCCCCTGTCCCCTCAGTAACTTCTTCCTCTGAACTACATTGGAACGTACTCTGTAGCCTGGATGTTCCCCAGAGCTCTGAACTTTCATATCCCACTCAACCTTTCCACTGGGCAAGTTCATGGGCATCTCACACAGAAATGGCCACAGGAAACCTTTGACCTCCATGCTTTCCAGCCTGTCTTGCCTTCAGGTCACAGGGATGATCCCATTCCCCCCCATTCCCCTTCAGTGAATGGCCCAGGGCTCTTGCGGAGTCATGGGGTTGCCTACTGCGCATCACTCCTCAGTTTTGCTCATCCATCCTGTGGAATCAATCTCCAAAACATGCAGAAGTGTCCCTGCTCCCACCTTCAGGCTGATCCAGGCCACTGGGACTGGTTTCCCTGTCACAGCCCCTAGCCGATCTTCTCATCCTCAATCTCTCTTCACCTCTATAATCAGACAGTTTGTTAAAACTCAAATTTCATTATTTTCACCAAAGCTTCTCCCCGCAACACCGTCATTACCCACAGGACAGCTGCACTGAGGTCCCCTAGCCACTGGCTCTCCCAGTGTCCTCAGGGGTTCCCATGCAGCACAGATCTCAGTCGGGAGTTCTGCATCTGCTTTCTATACTCTGCCCTGGTCAGTTGTAAGGTTCGTGACGATGGACCCTCTTGGGCAGTGTCCAGTCTTGTATTCCCTTATTATCTGGGACAAGCACATTACTGAACACAGAGTTCTTCACAACACGTTGTTAAATAAATAAATTGATCAAAACTCCCTCTGCTTGTTGATTCCTTCTGACCTTGATGTTGAGCCTACATTGTGAAAAAGGTGACCCTTTCCTTATTCATCAATGCTCAGTATCACAGGAGCATGGTGTTTAATTGTAAATACTTTGTCTCCTCACTGGCTACACACATTTGGCAGTGGGGAGAGCCGTTGGAAGAACTGGGAGTGGAGAGGACCTTGCCTGGGACAGGCTGAAAATGCGAGTTGGGAAGGGCAGGCTCCTGTGATAGGAGTTGACAAATACACACTTGAAACACAGTTAGAAAGACAGACGCTCCTTTAGAAAGAAGACTTATGTCTTCATGCCTTAAAGATAAGGAGTAGAAAACCCTTTCTCGTAAACTGAGAAGAGGAATCCAGGAATTTTGCAACTCAGCTTGGCCACAATGCATGGCAGTCAGAGCCCTGCTTCTGACTCTTCCTAGTGCTCCCCGCCCACCAGCTGCCCTCAGAGCCAATTCTGCTGGCTCACCCAGCTCTGCCCCAGAAGCTTCAAGTTTATTTACAGTGTCTGTTAAGTGGTGAAAGGAATCATTTATGTATACAAATGCCCTGTGAGCAGCAAACATGTATGAGGTGTGAATTTGCAGGACTCAGTCTTTACAGCAGATCATATCCCAATATCAGTCAGAGGCAGGAAACAGGAAGCAAGGAGAAATCTACATTGAGAGCAAGTCTGATGGGAGGTTTAACTCAGATCCCGGGGGAGGGGACTCTGATGCTCCACATCCCACATTTCCCTGCTGCTCCCCCCAGCACACACAGGATCACCCATGTTGCTCTACCTGGAAAATCTGTGTCCTGCTCTGGTCTCTGACTTTGAAGCAGTGCTAAGTGAGGACACTGAGGACCAAGAGGAGGAGAGAGCCTGTGAGGGGAGGAGCTGTCCACACTGGCTGAGTTAAGAGGCCTCTGCCCAGAAAGACTGTCATATTGGGTTTCTGGCCAGGTCTTCAGTGGGGGGCACAGGAGAGGCAACCAATCATTGATGTTTCTCTCCCTTTCTCCCTCCCTTCCCCTCTAAAAATGAATGAATATAATCTTTTTTAAAAAAATTGTTTAAACTGGAGAAATGCCCTGGCCAGTGCAGTTCAGTTAGTTGGAAGGTTGCACCATACACCCAAAGTTTGCAGGGTCAGTTCCCGGTCGGGACACCTTCCTAGATTGCCGGTTCCATTCCTGGTCAGGGAAGCAACCAATGGATGTTTCTCTTACATGAATGTTTCCCTCTATCTTGCTTTCTCTCTCTTCCTCTCCCTCTAAAAAAAAATCAATAAAAACATAACTTTGGGTGAGGGTTTAATAAATAAGTAAATAAATAAATAAACAAATGCAAGGACTGATAAAGAGTACCAGTTCCAGGAGGATGGCGGTGTGGTAGGAGGGAGCAGCTTTCACTTCCCCTACACATGGGAGAAAAACCTAGCCAATCAGCAAGGGAACAGAGCAAACAGCCAACAATATCACAACATACACGAAAATTGGAGATCAAAAATTGTAGTGGACATTGAAAAACCAGATGGTAAGGAGAGTGCTTCAGAATAATAAGGGCCCAGGGAGCAGCACCTGGACCAGGTTGCAGCCCCAGGCCCTGTGCTCCTGGGTCTGCCTCAGGCCACTTGGGAGAAAGGGGCTCAACCACTCCCTCCCCAGCCAAACAAGGATTGAGCAGCACTGGGAGAGGCCTGGTTGGTTGCTTGAACAGAGAGGGGAGTGAGGACTGAGTGGCAACCACACAGAGGCTGTGAGCACCCACACATAGCCCTGGGAAGAGTGTGCACTGGAGACTGTGCGACAAAGGGCTGCCTGGCCATGCGCTGTGCCCACGCCCGCAACCCAGAGAGTATGGTTCTGTGGAAGACCCGGAGCCCACAGCCGTGAACAAGGAAAAGGCACGGGTGCTCTGCAGGATCCTCAGAGCACACAACCGCGAACACGGGGAAGGTGAGCACACTCCACACTCCACACTCCGCAGGATCCAGGAGACAACAGCCGTAAGCTCAGGAGAGTGTCCTTAGGAATACCCAGATCCCATACCCAGGGCCCTGTGGAGAGGCACCAGACTGGCTCTGGGGAGAACCTGTAGCTAGCCCTGGGGACTGCACTCGAGAGGCTGACTGAGTACTGAATTGGAAGGAAGAAAAGAGATACCAGTCGCCCCTCAGCCTGCTGAAGCCAGCTAGACCAGAAAAAACAGTTTGGCCAGTTGGAAACCAACAAGGGTTTTTTTGTTATTTTGTCTTTTTTTAAGTAAATTTTTATTTTTTAATTCTTATTATTTTTATCCCTCTCAATTCCTTATGATTCTCTTTCTTTCTTTCTATTGTTATTCCTTCTTCCTTTCCAAATTTATCTCTTCTTCCTTCCATCTTCTGCTTTTTTTCCTTCTTTTTTCTTTTTTTTTTTGAACCGCAAGTTACTGCATATTTGTATTATCATTTTTTCATTATTCTTACATTGTTTTATTTTAATAGTATTTTAGTATTCCTCTTTATGTATAGTCTTCTTTGCTTGGATGGTTATATTGTATCATTTGACAGGTTTCCCCTTGTTATGTCATTCATAGTGTATTGCTAATTTACTGTCCTTCATTTGTGTTCCATTAGTACACTACTCAAGGTTCTATACTCCCTATTCTTGTTATCTAGGTCTCATAGATTCTGTCATATCACTGTTGCTCTAATACTACTATAAATAATAGCTATTCCATACAATTGTAAACACTACACAACACCCCTCCCAGATCTTAGCCCACTTCACGGTTTCCCGAACTCTATTACTGTAGTGGTTAACTCTATTCTCTCACACACTACACCTATTTACTATTCTTTACTCTCACCCTACATCAGAATCTCACCTCCCACAGCCTCACAGCTTTCTAGATCCAACTCACAATCCTTTCCTCCCCAATAAGAGTCTTATCTACTTTTCCATCCTTTCTAAAAAAGTGGCTAGTGGGGAGGAAGATCACAGTTAACACTATATGTAGCCAAAGGATCTCCTATCTCTTCTCTACTGGCTGCTACTGTAAATATCATAGAATACTCTCTTTGCTGTCTTAAACCATTTATGCCTTAACCCTCCAACTGATCACAAAAAAAGAGTAGGGGGAAGCTGTGAACACCAGGATACCCTGAAGGAGACTTCACCACTGAATCTCACAGGTATTCTACGACAGAAGTTCACACCATAAAGCCCAGGGAAACCAGAACAGATCAATTTAAGAAACAGAGGCTAACAAGAAGAGTCTCATGAAACAATGAGAAGACAAAGAAACAATCCCCAAATGAAAGGGAAAGGAGGAAGCCTCAGAAAGAATGATAAATGAAGTAGACACAACTCAACTATCAGATATTGAGTTCAAAGCAATGATCGTCAGGAAGCTCAATGAGCTCACAATGAGCTACCAGAAACTATAGGGAAATTACAACAAACTCACTGCAAACTATATCAACATGAAAAAGGAAATAGAAACTATCAACAAGGGCCAAGAGGAAATGAAGAATACAATTTCTGAACTGAAGAACACAGTAGAAGGAATGAAAAGCAGGATCAATGAAGCAGAAGATCAGATCAGCGAATTGGAGGACAAAATAGAAAAAAAGACACACAGAAAGAGCAAGAAAAGGAAAAGAGGCTCAGAAAGAATGAAGAGGGATTAAGAGAAATGCAAGACAATATGAAACATAATAATATCCATATAATAGGGATACCAGAAGGGAGAAGAAGAAAGAGCAAGGGATAGAAAACCTATTTGAAAAAGTAATAATGGAAAACTTTACTAATTTGATGAGAGAAAAAGTCACACAAATCCAGGAAACACAGAGAGTCCCAATCAAGAGGAACCCAAAGAGGTCTACCTGAAGACACATCATAATTAAAATGCAAAAATTTCAAGACAAAGAGAGAATCTTAAAGGCAGCAAGGGAGAAACAGATAGTAACATACAAAGGAGCCCCAGTAAGGCTAGCAGCTACCTTCTTAATAGAAACACTACAAGCCAGAAGAGAAATGGCAAGAAATATTCCCAAGTAATGAGAACCAGAGGTCTGCAACCAAGGCTACTTTACCCAGCAAGGCTCTCAATCAAGATAGAAGGCCAAATAAGGAGCTTCCCAGACAAAAAAGAAGTCTAAAAGAATACATCTCCACAAAACCAGCTCTGCAAGAGATTCTAAAGGGGCTGCTTTAAGGAAAGGAAGGAAAAGAGAGAGAGAGGAACACAGATATGTAAATGGCAATGAATAAGTACCTATCAATAATAACCTTAAACGTAAATGGATTAAATGCTCCAGTCAAAAGACATAGAATAGCTGAATGCATAAGAAGGCATGACCCACACATATGCTGCCTACAAGAGACCCACCTCAGGATGAAAAGACCTACACAGGCTGAAAGTGAAGGGCCTGGAAAACAAATTTTCCAAGCAAACAGACAGAGAAAAAAAAGCTGGGGTAGCAATACTCATATCAGACAAAATAGACTTCCAAAAAAGGGGCCATAAAGAAAGACTCAGAAGGTCACTTTCATAATACTCAAGGGAAGAATCCACCAAGAAGACATAAACATTGTAAACATATATGCACCCAACATAGGAACACCCAAATACATAAAGAAAATCTTAGAGGACTTCAAGAAAGATCTGGACAGCAACACAATTATAGTGGGGGGGATTTTAACACCCCACTGTCAAAAATGGACAGATCTTCCAAACAAAATATTAAAAAAGATATTGTGGCATTGAACAATGCCCTAGATGAAATGGACTTAACTGATATATACAGAGCCCTCCATCCCAAAAGAAGCTAAATACACATTCTTTTCAAATGCACATGGAACATTTTCAAAGATAGACCACATGATATAGGACACAAAACAAGCCTCAACAAATTCAAGAAAACTGAAAATCATACCAAGCATTTTCTCAGATCACAAGGGACTGAAACTAGAAACCAACCCCTAAGGGGAAAAAAAACCCAAAACACTCAAAATCATGGAGATTAAATAGCATGCTATTAAACAATGAATGGGTCAAGAATGAAATTAGGGAAGAAATCAGAAAGTTTCTGGAAACAAATGAAAATGAACTCACAAGAACCCAAAACTTATGGGACACAGTGAAGGCAATCCTGAGAGGGAAGTTTATAGCAATACAGGCCTACCTAAAAAAGGTAGAAACATTTCAAACAAACAACCCAACCCTACATCTACAAGAACCCGAGGAACAACAACAAAGACAGCACAGAGCAAGTAGAAAGGAAGGAAATAACCAAGATCAGAGCAGAATTAAATGACATAGAGACTAAAACCACAACTCTAAGGATCAATGAATCCAGGAGCTGGTTCCTCGAGAAGATAAACAAAATTGACAAACCTTTGAGCAGACTCATCAAGACAAAAAAGAGAGAAGATCCAGATAAACACAGTCAGAAATAAAAGAGGAGAGATTATAACTGACATCACAGAAATGCAAAGGATTGTAAGAAATTACTATGAAAGAACTGTATGCCAAGAAATTTGAAAACCTAGGTGAAATGGACAAATTTCTAGAAAAAATATAATCTTCCAAAACTCAATGAAAAAGAAGCAGAAAGCCTGAACAGACCAATAACAGCAGATGAAATTGAAGCAGTAATCAAAAAAACTCCCAACACACAAAAGCCCTGGACCAGATGGTTTCACAGGAGAATTCTACAAAGCATTTAAGGAAGAGCTAACCCCTATCCTTCACAGACTATTTCAAAAAATCCAAAAAGATGGAAGACTCCCAAACTCTTTTTATGAAGCCAGCATCATCCTAATCCCAAAACCAGACAAAGACAACACAAAGAAAGAAAACTTCAAGCCAGTATCACTGATGAACATAGATGCAAAAATCCTAAACAAAATATTGGAAAATTGCATCTAACAATACATTAAAAAAGATCATACACCATGACCAAGTGGGATTCATTCCAGGAATGCAAGGATGGTACAATATTCACAAATCAGTAAATGTAATACATCACATAAACAAAAGCAAAGACAAAAATCACATGATCATATCAATAGATGCAGAAACAGCATTTGATAAAGTACAGCACCCATTTATGATAAAAACACTCAGCACAGTGGGAATAGAAGAAGCATTCCTCAACATAATAAAGGCTATATATGAGAGACCTACAGCCAACATCATACTCAATGGGCAAAAACTAAAATCTTTTCCACTAACATCAGGAACAAGACAAGGCTGTCCACTCTCAGCACTTCTATTTAATATAGTATTGGAAGTTTTAGCCATAGCAATCACACAAGAAAAGGAAATAAAAGGCATACAAATCGGAAAGGAGGAAACAAAACTGTCAGTGTTTGCAGATGACATGATAGTGTACATAGAAAATCCTATAGACTCCATCCAAAAAACTGCTCAACCTAATAAATGAATTTGGCAAAAACAGCAGGGATACAAAGTCAATATCCAGAAATCAAAGGCATTTCTGTACACCAACAATGAAACAGCAGAAGCAGAAATCAAGAAAAAAAAATCCCATTTGAAATAGCAAAAAAGAAAAAATAAAATACCTAGGAATAAACCTAACCCAAAGAGGTAAAAGACCTGTATTCAGAAAACTACATAACACTGAAGAAAGAAATCAAGGAAGACACAAACAAATGGAAACATATACCATGTTCATGGATTGGAAGAATTAACATCATTAAAATGTCCATACTACCCAAAGCAATTTACAGATTCAATGCAATACCTATTAAAGTACCAATGGCATATTTCACAGACATAGAACAAACACTTCAAAAAATTTATATGGAATCATAAATGACCCCAAATAGCTGCTGCAATTTTTGAGAAAGAAGAGCAAAGTCAGAGGGATCACAATACCTGATACTAAACTGTATAACAAGGCCACTGTAATCAAAACAGTCTGGTACTGGCATAAAAACAGACACATGGACCAATAACACAGAACAGAGAGCCCAGAAATAAACCCAAGCCTCTATGGTCAATTAATATTTGACAAAGGGGGCAGCAACATAAAACAGAGTAAAAACAGTCTCTTCAACAAATGGTGTTGGGAGAACTGGACAGCTACATGCAAAAAAAAAATGAAACTTGAGCACCAACTTATACCATACACGAAAATAAATTCAAGGTGGATAAAAGATTTAAATATAAATAAAGACACCATTAAAGTCCTAAAGGAGAACATAGGCAGGAAAATCTCAGATATTTCACGCAGCAAACATTTTCACTGGCATGTGACCTCTAGAGCAAGGGACATAAAGGAAAGAATAAACAAATGGGATCTCATCAAAATTAAAAAGCTTTCTGCACAGCTAAAGAAAATAGTATTAAAATTAAAAAGAGAACCAACTGTATGAGAAAACATATTTGCCAAATGATACCTCAGACAAGGGTTTAATCTCCAAAATATATAAAGAACTCACATGACTCCACTCTAAGAAGACAAGCAACCCAATTAAAAAATGGACCAAAGGACTTGAACAGACACTTCTCCAAGGAGGACATACAGAGGATCCAGAGACACATGAAAAGATGTTCAATATCACTAGCTATCAGAGAGATGCAAATTAAAACCACAATGAGATACCACTTCACACCAGTCAGAATGGCCATCATAAACAAAGCAACAAACAACAAGTGTTGGAGAGGTTGTGGAGAAAAGGGGACCCTAGTGCACTGTTGGTAGGGACTGCAGACTGGTACAACCACTATGGAAAAGCAGTATGGAACTTCCTCAGAAAACTAAAAAATGGATCTGCCTTTTGACCCAGCAATTCCACTGCTGGGATTCTATACTAAGAACACTGAAACACCAATCCAAAAGAACCTATGCACCCCAATGTTCATAGCAGCACAATTTATAATAGCTAGAGTGCTGGAAGCAACCTAGATGCCCATCAGTAAATGAATGGATCAAAAAACTATGGTACATTTACACAATGGAGTTCTATGCAGCAGAAAGAAAGAAGGAGCTCCTACCCTTTGCAACAGCATGGGATGGAGCTGGAAAAGCATTATGCTAAGCAAAACAAGCCAGGCAGTGAAAGACAAATACCATATGATCTCACCTTTAACAGGAACCTAAACAACAAAACAAACAAACAAGCAAAATATAACCAAAGACACTGAAATAGAGGGACAGACTGATAGGGTGACCGGAGGGGAGAGAGGAGGGAATTTCAGGGGAGAATGGGAAGGGTTTACAGGAACAAACTATAAAGGACACATGGACAAAAACTAGGGGGAGGGGTGGAAATGGGAGGGAGGTGGGTGAGGGTGGGAGGGGTGGGCTGGGATTGGGAGTAAAAAGGAGAAAACTGTATTTGAACAATGATTTTAAAAAATAATAATAATAAAAATAAAAATAAAGAAAAAAAAGAAAACATTCAAAGGAAGGATGAGTCAGGGGAAGAAAAGGGACAAGGACTTTCTGTCACGATAGGAAAGGCAGAGATAGCTGTGTGAATCCCCCGTTCTCAAAAAGAGAAGTCAGTAAAAAGCCATCCCCCTAGCATACAGTTTTCGGAAGGGCCTGCTGCCTTTTTTAAGCCTCTGAGTTCTGGTTAAGCTGGCTCAGAATGAAAGCAATAATGTTCTCCTGCCCTTGTTTTTCCTGTTCACATCACTGAGGCCGCAGACCACACGCACACGGTACTGCACGCATCTGACTCAGGCAGGCCTGGCCCCGGGCGCTCCGCCTCCTTCCTGTTCCCCCTCACAGCAGACAGCAGCTCCTTCCAGCGCAGCTCTGCAGCTCAGCGAGCGTTCCGTCACATTTTCCTGAAAAATATAAGCAATGTCCCTATTTTGTTCAAATGCCAGTGAGGCTGCCTTAAATTCCTCTGGCCACGGCCCCCAGAAGCCTACAGAGTCGGCCCCAAATGGAGAAAGGGACAACTCGCCAGAGGACTTGGTCCCAGGGGTCAGGAGTCCAGGCTCTTCCTCTGGTCCGGCGGCCAGCGGGGTGGTAAGTCCAAACGTGTGGTGAGTGTGTCTGTGTGTGTTGTGGTTGTGTGTATATGTTATGTACATGTTGTATTTGTGAGTGTGTGGTGTGGTTCTGCATGTGTTGTGTTTGTATGTCTGAGGGTGTAGGTGTGAATGTTGTGTGTGTGTGTGTGTTATGTCTGCATATGAGTTGTATGTGGATGTTTGTGTGTATGCTGTGTTTGTGAGTGTATGTGTGTGTTGTGCATGAGTCTATATGTCTGGACATTGTGCATTGTGTTTGTGTGTTAAATTTGTGTGTGTGCACGTGTGGTGTGAATGTGTGTGTTTGTGTGTTGGTATGTTTGTGAGTAGCTGGGTGTTCTATGGGGAGTGCATTGTGGGAGCGGTCTGTGTCGTGTTTATGAGTGTGTTGCTTTTGGTGCGTGTGTGTCGAGTCTGTGTGTGTCTTTGAGGAACATTACAAGGGGCTGTGACTAAGAGGAGAAGAGGATTCTGTGCGTTCCGTGTCCTGCCTCAAACCCCGGTTAGTCTAGTCATGGGGAAGACGCCTCCGTGAGGTCCACTTACTTCCTGAGGAGCAGCAGGGTAACCCGCCTGCTCCGTGTTCTCTGAGGGAGACAAAGTGGCAGGGGGCGAGGGTGCCAGGCACCGTTGAGGGCAGGATCTGTGGAGGCTCTGAGAGACAGGTGTCCCCACACTCGGGCCTTCACCTGGAGACACTCCCTGACTGTGAGTGTCTCCCAGTGTCCTGTGTGTCCCGGCAGACAAGTCCTGGGCTGCGTACTTCCCATCCCCAGGCCACAGGGGACGGGGAGCAGATGCAGCGGGACGGGCTGCTGAGACAGGTAACCGTGTCGGTCTGTGAGGTGGTGTGGAAGGTGGCAGATGCACTGCTCTCGCCCCAGAAGGGTGATGACAGGTCCTGGTAGGGTGACAGGGCCCTCTCTGCAAAGACTGGGACGTGCTCTAGAAAATGTCGTGAAGTGGGTTGGGATGCTATAGGGACCACAGGGACATCTAGTTGAAGCCCAGATTTCACACTGCGGGGACTCTGAGGCCCAGGCAGTGTGACCACGCTAACAGATGGCCATGAAGTTGGGCACTGAGGTCCCCTGGCTCCCAGCAGGACTGTCCCCACACTGTCAAATTCCTGTGCCAGGGAAATGGACCTCCTCACCATAGCACTTGGCCACCCACCTCTGAGCCCTCGGCCACCCTCTTGGCCAGGCCGTCGTCAGGCATCATCCGGGCACCAGGACCTGCCCCCAGCCCACCCCGCACCACAGCTTCCTGCTCACGGCCCCAGTCTGGCTGCTCATCTTCCCACCACCCCTAGAACCGACCATCAGGCCTGCTTCTGCATCTCTGCTCTTTCCCTCCTCACAGGGAGTCCCAGGACCCTGTGTCCACCCTAACGCCATTGTGCCTTAGGCTGCAGGCCAATGGCTCCTTCTCCATGAAATCACCTAGACTCACGATGGGGACCGAGGAGCAAAGAGAAAGAAACAGGGTCCCTGAAGGAGGTAGAACGTGTCTCAGACCTTCCTCCCCCTCCTCTCTCAGTCCATCCCCCCAGAGCAATGCAAACACTTCCTTCTGGCAGGAGAAAGGCAAAGCCAGCTGCCTTGTGAGGCACAGTTGAAACTAAGACAGACATGTTGTTTCTCCAGGTGGAAGATGAAGAATACAAGCTGATTCTCCAGGACAGCTCCGCAGGAGCGCCATCCCAGCGTCCTACCCAAGACATGTCAGCAGGTACCACAGCCTTGCAGCATAGGTGGCCCTGAGGGAGGAGTGCACAGGGACGTGGGTGTGCACGGGTGCACTTGAGGAGGCAGCGGAGTGCAACCAGCCGGGCTTCACCCTGCACAGGGCCCTTGGGTGGGTCCTTGCCTACCCCACCAAATAAGAGGGAAAGACCCCGAGTAGCACAGTGGGAGAGAAGGGGCAACAGATGGCTCCAGCCACGCCCTTGGGAAGGTGAGTGTGCCAAGACTACTCCCCGTGGCAGAGGCTTGCAGCCAACTGAGCCCACTGGGCAATGGGCTGACTCTGGTGGGGGACGCTGAGGGTCAGCAGGGCCACCCAGCACCACTGAAGGAGTGAGTGAGGGGTTGCCTTAGGGCTGGGCTGGCCCTTCCCCAGGACTCTCCCCCTAAAGCTTTTGCTTTGGGGTCAGGGGCTTGAGAGTCATGGGTTTGACCTCATCATCTAACCGGGGGAGACAGAATAAGGCAGTGCTGGCAATGTGTCCATGTTCCTGGCCAAAAGAATTTATCTGTGATTCACTATGTATTTCACACTAATGATTTATTTAGTGTATGAACTTCAATGGCCTGAGTCATTGGGAGAAAACCCTATTAATTCACAGCATGGGAAAATTACTGATATAAGAATTGATACCTGATTTAGCCGTTCTCATGGCAATCGAGGTTCAATATTACTTTTAGAATCCTCTCTGTAGCCTGATTGGTGTGCTCGGCGTGCACTGGCTCCTATCTGCCCAGGTGGGAGTTCCTGTCTTGGTCCGGCTCTAGACCGGTGGGAATGGCAAGGATGAGCACTCTGCATTCCCTGCTTCTTTGACACCCCCCACACCCCCGATTCACCCACATTCCTCTCAAAGCCACGTGGGGGGAGCTGGAGGAATCAGCATCCTCAACCAGAGTTGGTTGCTGGGTCCACCAGCCAAGGACTCCAGGCATGCCTTAGGTGTCTGGGCTCTGTCACTGAGACACACCAATGTCTTCACTATGGAGCAGACGTGGGGACCAGAGGGTCACTGGGCACCTGTCTGTTGCTCCGGGGATGAGGTGAAAGGCCGGGGGAAGGAATTCTCCTCCCAGCCTCAGACCCCAGTCACTTCTGAAACCCTCACAGCAGGGTTTCAATGTCAGGCTGGCATGTCCATGTCTCCTCTTTGCCCCTGTCCTGTATGCAGCTGGGCGGGAACATCCAGCCCAGGTGTCCAGGATGGAGCCTAGGAATGCGCCCCCGGGGAGCCTCTGTGCAGTGGAGCCCGGGGTCCGGCTGAAAGATGCCACCCTCCCACGGTCAATGTGGAAAAGTGGAGGGAAGTGATGGGGTCAGGCACTCGGGGACAAGACACAGACACAGAGGCCACACCTCTGCCTCATCATCAGGGACACCCAGGAAAGCCCAGGGTCCTCCATTCATCCTGGGCTGATTCCATCCGGGTGAGAAGATGTGACCCTGAGAAGATATTTTAAACCTAAACACAAAAACATGGTATTCTGACACACTATCCAGCAACTGCATTCTGGGTATCTGCCCCGTAGAACCCAATCAGGAACTCGAACCGGCATTGGTCCACTAAGGTGCACAGCAGCGTCATTCACAGTAGGAAAAAGTGCAAACGGCTCGTGCCCACATGTGAGAGTAAACACAGTGTAGTCCATCCATGCCATGTGACATCATCTGCCCTTGCTTGAAAAGGGAATTCTGACCAGGCTACAGGGTTAGTGATTCTTGACACCACTGTGATGCCGAGTGAAGGGAACCCAACACAAGGTCAAAGTGCAGGGACCCAGGTCTCTGAGGCTCCTAGGAGAGCAGAAGAGCACAGGTCACAGAGGCAGGAAGGAGGCTGGCAGTGAGCCAGGGTTCGGGGGGAGGGAGGAATGAGGAGTTGCCATTTCATGGGGACAGAGTTTCTGATGGGGGTGACAAAAAATTCAAGAGATACATAGGAGTGACGACCACACAGCAATGTGAAGGTGCACAGTGCCACTGAATTGCACACCAAAACCCAGTGACAACAAGGATTTGAAATATTTGTGTGTATTTTCCACCATAAAACAATTTTTTAAAAAAGGAGCATTGACCCAGAGCAGGTCTCCTGTACAGATGCCACTCCTGTCCCTCCCCAGAAGAGCCAGCCCCTGGGGCCATGAGCATCCAGGGCTGAGGACTCTGAGGAGGCCAAATGGGGTTCATAGACTATAACTTTCACCCCTTGATTTGTCTCGATGCTTCTAGATCTGTGGGAGAAGGAAAAGACACCGAAGAGGCTGAGGCTCCTGCTGGTGGGGAAAAGTGGAAGTGGGAAAAGCGCCACAGGAAACAGCATCCTGGGCAGGGAAGCCTTCGAATCCAAGCTCAGCGACAGACCCCTAACCATGACCTTCCAGTGTGGCTGCCGAGACTGGGCTGGGAAGGAGCTTGAGGTGACCGTCACCCCTGATATTCTGTCCTCTCGGGTTTCACGGGAAGGGGCAGCTCAGGGTCCCTGGGCAGCCGTCGCCTGCTGCACCCCTGGACCACACGCAGTGCTGCTGGTGATGGAGCTGGGCCACTTCACAAAGGAGGACCAGGAGGTAGTCAGGTGCCTCCAGGAGGTCTTCGGGGTGGGCATCCTGGCCCACACTGTCCTGGTGTTCACTCGGAAGGAGGACCTGGGGGGTGGCTCCCTGGACGAGTATCTGCGGAACACTGACAACCAGGAGCTCGCTCACCTGGACGTGGTTTGTGCGAGGCGCCACTGTGGCTTCAACAACAGGGCAGATAGCGCAGTGCAGGAGGCCCAGCTGACGGAGCTGATAAAGACCATCGAGGTGATCCTGTGGGAACATGAAGACTATCCTTACAGAAAGGAGGCTTACCCGGTGCTGCCAGCCAGACATCTGTGCACAGAAGGGCGGGGAGGGTGGAAGGTCTAGGGCGAGCCTCTGAGGAAGTGACCACTGCAGAGCCCGGGCTGGAGGGGCTGTACAGAATCCAGAACACCTGAGAAAACCCGCAGATGTCTCTTAAAGGGGCACCATCTGACTGTGTGCCCAACTCCAGTGGGGACAGCCATTTCCTGGGAGCCTCGCCAGCTCTGGGTCCACCTTGCAGTCTATCACCTCCTTCTGCATCCCTGGCTCACGAGCCACTCGGTCTCCAGGGTGGAACCTGCTGAGTCAGAGGGTGTGGGTCCCAGAGTCCCAGCTCCCATCCCAGTCCTGCATCTCGCTCTCAGAGCCCATGTGCCCCCTCCCTGCTCCCCTGCAGCCCGCTGTCTCATACAGACTGCACAGCACGATGGCATCGCTTTTGTTGAAGTTCTCCCTCCTCGAGTGAACCAAAGCTCCCTGAGGACAGGGCCTCCTCACTCTTCCATGTCACCCCCACTGCATTCTGGTCACTGGAGTGATTCCTTACCAATGACAGCAAATCAGTGTGTGCCATTGACCAGGTGAATGTCCGGTCTTGGGCTGTGTCCTCACCCACAGAGGGGGAAGCATAATGACTCTAAGGCACCTGAGTGTGTGGTGGGTCGGGACAGAGCCGTGGGGTCAGTGTCTGGGTGTGTAGTGGGGTCCCCTCTGAGGTATCTGTGGTGTCAGATAGAGGGGTGCAGGGAAGAAAGGGAAGCTGCAAAGGGAGCAGCTGAGTTGTGAGCACAGTAGGAAGCACCTGCCTGATGGGTTGGGAGGACTCTGTGCCTGAGAGGTCTTCCTAGAAGGGGGCTTCTGGGGACAAGGCCATAGGAGGTGAGATGGACCAGGACCAGAAGACATCAGGATGGTGGTCGGCCCTGGCCTGTGACTGGTAAGTGCCATGTGACTTCACAAAGAGACTGACACTCCTCAGATGCTCCTCAGCTTCTCTGAGGCTCAGGATGCTCTCTGGGGAGTCTGACCAAGGGATGGAAACAGGACAGGTGGGAACGAGGGAACTGCCCCCGACAGACTCCTCTGTCCCTTTTTCACACCATGTGACAGAGGGTCTCTAGCTGCCTTCTTCAGAGAGGGGTAAAAAATAGGGTGAGGGGACAGCATCTGGGGACAGTCAGCAATCAGAGAGGCAGCCACAGGACTGTCTGGGTGCTCACCTGCCCATCAGAGATCCTCTGCTGTCAGGGGCCCCATCAGGACCCTGGTCTCCCAGTGCAGAGGCCATGGACTCCCACTGTCTCCAGACACAGGGGACGCCAAGGAAGCCAGTGTGTTTCATTGGCTGAAAGTTTCAGGGAAGCGTCTCAGGGCAGAACAAAGACCCAGTTTAGTGGGCATCTGAGACAGATCCATTTACTCAATCAGCCATCCACAGGCCGTGGACGGAACCCAGCCATATTCCCTGTGACGTGTGCGTGCTGCCGAAGACCCGCGTCAGGACTTCAGTTCTGTTCCGTCTTCTACTTTTCTCCTCCTTGTGCATAAAGTATTGATTTGATCACAATGGCTTTGATTTCCTCATTATTGTATTTCTCTTGTTATTCTTCTATATGAAAATTAAAATCCCCAGTGTAATGTTCAGAATGGGACCTTATTGGCATTCTGGTGGATAAACTCCCACCCCTGCACTAGGGTTGGGAAAATGGTCAGTACTCAAGGTCGGGGGGTCAAGGTCATCATGTTTCTAAGTGAATAGATTCATTACTTCAGAGTAACTGAGTCAAAGTGCAACCATTTTCATTTGCATTAAGACAACAATATAAATTAATTTAAAATGTGTTGTTTTATCTGTTTGCTTCTTTCATTTCATAATAGAAAGTACAAGCACTTCACAAATGACACTCATTCAGTGATTTTCATTGGCAAGCCACTCAAACCATTGTCTTTATGAAAAATTATAAGGGAATGGTGTTTAAGTATATCAAATAGGATGTGCTCTCTCCTTACTAAAAATCAGGGATGATGCCCCCCACAACATTTCAGGAGTAGGGATAGACACTGCTGTCACACCCTGGGGCTCCACAGGGCAAAGAAAATGCAGTGGGAATAACCACAGTCCTGGACCCTCCACTGTCTGTGTGTATCATGAAGAAAGACCTGGCGGGGTGGGGGTGAGGCAGGAAGAGAGAAGCTGTCTGGGTCAAGGCTGTGAAAATAGTCAACGTTAGTTATTTTCAACAAGTATCTCAACACTGGAGGAACACAGGAGAACCAGGGTCTGTGCCACGTGAAGGGCCCAGTGAGTATGTGATTGTTTCCTCTGTGTGGATCAATTCAGGGACTCAAAACCTCAAGGAAGAATCCAGCTCCCAGCTCCCCTGGAACACCCTTGATGAATTATGGGGAAAATACAAAATAATGACTTTAAAACATCTGTCTGAAGGCACCAGAAGTGACCAAACACAGGCCAACACTGTAGGGGACTTGGCCCTTAGTCAGGATCCTCTGGTCAAGATAAGGGGCCACACCACTGCCACAATGATAGGGTTTCCCCACCACAGCACACCAGGTCAAAATTAACGGTGACTAGAGGGAAGGCTGGTGGCATCTGGAGGCAGCCAGAGCAGGCAGAAGTTGATGGGGAGGCCCACCAAAACAACAGAGCCACAGAGGGGGTGGGGCTTTAGAAATTCTGCATGTTAAAATTAAAATTCTGCATATTAAAATTTCATATTACATTTATTGATTTGCGATGCTTTCACCACTTCTATTCAACATATTATTGTAAGTCCCAGCCACAGCAATCAGACAAGAAAAAGGAAGAAAAGACATCCAGTTTGGAAAGAAGGAAGCAAAACTGTCATTGTTTGTGGATGACATGATAGTGTACATAGAAAGTCCTATAGAATCCACCAAAAAACTACTTGACCTAATAAGTGAATTAGGCAAAACAATGGAATACAAAATCAATATTCAGAAATCGAAGACATTTTTCACACCAGCAATGAAACATCACAAGCAAAATCAGAGGGAAAAAAATCCCATCTCACATAGCGACAAGAAAAATAAAGTACTTAGGAATAAACCTAACCAAGGAGGTAAAAGACTTGTACTCAAAAAACTACACAACACTGAAGAAAGAAATTAAGGAAGACACAAACAAATGGAAACGTGTACCATGTTCATAGATGGGAAGAATTAACATCATCAAAATGTCCACATTACCCAAAGCAATTTATAGATTCAATGCAATCCTTATTTAAATACCAATGACATATTTCACACATATAGAACAAACATTTCAAAAATGTATATGGAACCATAAGTGACCCCAAATAGCAGCAGCAATTTTGGGAAAAAAGAACAAAGTAGGAGGTATCACAATACCTGATATCAAACTATATTACAAGGCCACAATAATGAAAACAATCTGGTACTGGCATAACATCAGACACATAGATCAATGGAATAGAATAGAGAGCCCAGAAATAAACCCACGTCTCCATGGTCAATTAATATTCAACAACATGAATAGAAGCATAAAATGGAGTAAAAATAGTGTCTTCAACAAATGATGTTGGGAGATCTGGACAGCTACATGCAAAAAATATATGAAACTCGACCACTAACTTAGACCATACACAAAAATAACCTCAAGATGGATAAAGACTTAAGTATAAGCCACAGCACCATGAAATTCCTAGAGGAGAACATAGGCGGGAAAATCTCAGATATCCCACAAAGCAATACTTTCACCTGTATGTCCCCTAGAGCAAGGGATATAAAGGAAAGAATAAAATGAGATTTTGTCAAAATAAAAAGCTTCTGCATGGCTAAAGAAAATATCAGCAAAACGAAAAGGGACCAACTGTATGGAAAAAACATATTTGCAAATGGTACCTTGGACAAGGGTTGATCTCCAAAATATGTAAAGAACTCACACAGCTCCACTGCAGGAAGATAAACAGCACAATTAAAAAATGGGCACAGGACCTGAACAGACACTTCTCCAAGGAGGACATAGAGAGGGCCCAGAGACATGAAAGGATGCTCAGCATCACTAGCCATCAGAGAGATGCAATTACAACCACAATGAGATATCACCTCACACCAGTCAGAATGGTCATCATAAACAAATCAACAAACAACAAGTGCTGGTTGTGAATGTGGATAAAAGGGGACCCCAGTGTGCTTTAGGTGGGAATGCAGACTGGTGCAGCCACTGTGGAAAACAATATGGGATTTACTAAAAAAAACTAAAAATGGATCTGCGTTTTGACCCCGCAATTCCACTGCTAGGACTATGCCCTAAGAATCCTGAAACACCAATTGAAAACAACCTATGCCTCTCCATGTTCATACCAGCTCAATTTACAATAGCCAGGTGCTGGAAGCAGCCTAAGTGTCCATCAGTAAATGAGTGGATCAGAAACTATGGTACATTTACACAGTGGAACTCTATGCAGCAGAGAGAAAGAAGGAGCTCCTACCCATTGCAACAGCATGGATGGAACTGGAGAGCCTTATGCTAAGTGAAATAAGGCAGGTGGTGAAAGATAAATATCATATGTCTCCTATAAGTGAAATCTAATCAACAAAACAAACAAGCAAGAAAAATATAACCAGAGACATTGAAATGAAGAACAAACTGAGAGTAATCAGAGGGAAGGTGAGAGGGGATAATGGGGGGCAGACGGGGAAGGGTTGTCAAGGAACATGTATGAAGGACACGTGGACAAAGCCGAAGAGGTGTAGGATGGAGGGTGGGAGGTGGGGATGGCAGTGGGGGAGGGAAGTAATGGGGGTAAATGGAGAAAATTGTACTTGAACAACAATAAAAACATACTGAAAAAAATAATATTAAAATAAACTTCACAGTTGGTTCATAAAAACAAAGAAACATTGTAAACAGTATTTAAAAGGATCAGAGCTTGTAACTAGGACCAGCTACAAAACACCTTGGAGAAAATTACACCAAAAATAAAAATACTTTAAAATGGAACGGTAGTAAAAGAAATCATTACTTTGGTCATGGACAGTTTTGAGGGAAAATTTTAAAAGGCCAAAATATTTTCCCAGTATATTGAACTTGAGACGTCTCCCATAAAGACATCAAACAATTGTCCATAAAAGGCAAGACCTTTTTAATAATATCAAGGACTAATTGATTTAAAATTTGGAAAATTTCAAGTATTTTTTTCAAATTACAATATGTATTTGAATGCTATGTATAAAGTTTCAACCATAAATGCTGAAAGACCCAACAGAGAGGGAGGACCACACTGACCAGCGTCCACTGGCAACATCCAGCAGAACGTCAGCTTCCCCATGATGCTGACCCCAGAGCACCTGGTTCTCTCCAATCACACTCTCTCTCTAACTTCTGCTCTCTCTAAAATCAATAAACATATCCTCAGGTGACGTATTCAAAAAAAAAAAGTTCTGTATCACTAAGTCCCAGAAAGGTGATTGCTGAAAAATAAATTCTGTATACATTTCCCCTCCCTGCTGAGAACCCAAGCCTGGCTGCCTTGGGTCAGAAAAACAAACAAAAAACAGAAGGCAGAGGTAAATAATGTCCCTTCATTCTCTGAAAGGATGGGCACAGACAAAGCAAACAACAGGACTAAGTAGATTAAATTTTAAAATACTTTCTGTCTCAGTGCTCTAAGGAGCCCCAGTGCCCCAGGAGGCAGCTGGACAGTGTGCGTGTCCAGGGGACCATATGGAGGTACCACCTCGATTGACCTTCTTCCCTTCTCCTCCCAAACTGATTATGCCAGGGGTTTGTTCCATTTCAGATTCCTTATCTCCCATTGTTTACTTTTTTCACTTCCTCCCTTTGATGTTGTCCCCTCCAGACTCCCACGGGCAGTGACCCCGCTCCCAGGGAGCTCTTGGGGTGAATCTGGTGGTCCAGCCCTGCCTGCGCCAGTCTCCATCACATTCCTCCTCTTCCTCCCCTTTCCTCAGGGTAACCCTCTCCCTCCCCTCCCCACCACCTGCCAACCCTGCCCAGCTGTTTTTCTTCAGAGAAGAGGAGAAGTGAGATATAAGACATTTGGCCAAATAATATTGTGTCTTAAAAAATTCCCAAATCTATGAAGAATGTTGTAAACTCAGGGGACAGGGGGATTCAAAATGGTGGTGCAGATATTTTGAAATCTTTTGAATCTCTCAGGTGAGAAGTTGAATTGCTATTTGGCACCAGTCCTACCTGCTGGAAGCATGTGCTTCAGACTGCAGGGGCAGACCCTAATGGTGACCTATCAGGGGCAAAACAATGACGAATGACCCCCAACCCCTTCCCTGTGATGCAGAGAACACAGCGGGACAGCCCATGGTGCCAAGTGTAGGACAGAAGATTGAGCACAGCTGCATAGTCCACGTGCGAATTTACCTTCTACCTGACCTTCCTGTGTAAATGTTTCCGTCTCATCCAAGACACCACAGGGCTCACACCAATTTGATGCTGCTGTGCTTGGGACAAAGTGTTAGTATCTTGACTCATCACTGTGTACCAAGTGCCTGGTGTGCATGAGGGCCTCCCAAAATATTTCTTACCTCACCCTTTGAAGAGTTGGTGAACCTTGGCTCAAGGAACACTTCCGCAGCATGGACAGTCCCAACTCCTTGTTGCT